TTTCTACATGTACAATTCAGTGACGTCGATAACATTCTTCCAGTTGTGCTGCTATTCTCACTATCCTTTTGCAAATTATTCCATCACCGTTATCTTCAACTCACTGCCCCCTAGGCTTCCCATCAAACCTTTTGCGTTGCTGCTGTCAATCTGATCTCACATAGGTAATTCTTTGCAAAAAATAAATTTTAAAAATTAAACTTAAAATAAGAATACAATAAAAGGTATGTACAGACAGCATACCTACACTGTGATACATTGCTCATTGCATGCAACATCTCAGTAATAAATGTTTTTTGCTCCCACTCTGGCACATTTCAAAATGTGTTAGCATGTGTGTGTGAGCTGAAGCGTTTGTACCCATGAAAGAAATGCTTCTCAACTTTGAAATATAAATTCTTTTCAAGTTTTCTAATTAGAATAAGCACCTGGTATTTAATCTTTTGAAAAACATCAAGCCCCCTACTCAGGTCCCACAAACAATAATAATACAATATGATAAAAGTTTCTTTTTACTTTTAAAAATACAGGCTACAAAAAGCAATAAAGTGAGAGCTATGATAACTATAAGAAAATCTGCCAATGCTATTTCACTTTCATTGTTTCTATAATTTTCTGAAAGTTGAAGTTTTCATTTCAGATCATCTGAAATAGAGACAGCCCTAAGAGGAATAAAGTTTTATAGCCTGTTCTATCTTTTGTTCACTGCTGAAGTGCTTTGCGCTGAAAATATAAAAACCTTTTCCATACACATCCAGTATGTGAGTATATGAATTTAAGGATATTCCATTTTTTATGAAATCAAAATAAGATTTTACAAGTAAAATAAAAAACCTGGGAGATGAATTTTAGTACTGTAGAATTTGGGGGAATGGTACCTCGTCGGTGTTGTAGATAATCTGTAATCCTGAAGAAATCATCTCCACAAGGTAAAGGAGATAGAGAGACACTGCATTGATCTGAAAACAAACAGCAAAACAAAGAGGTTAAAGGAAACAGAAATATGATGTTACAAAATTAAACGCAAACGCTGAAATGAGAGGTCATTTGCTCTATCGACAGCATATACAAACTATGGCCCTTCTTGCTGTGAAATAAAGGAGCTGTGGCTTCAGTTCATCATAAAATCTCAGCTTTGTATGTAAAACTCTAAAATCTTCAAAATCATTGTGATGGGCAACACTTGACTCGGGAAATGGCTGCAGGTAGAAATGCTGCCAACCGTTTCTAGAACATTTGTTTCTAAGATTTATTTTTAGACTCTGGTACTTCTGCTTCAGAACGGTTCTGGCCCACAGGCAGTTACACAATGTCAAACCATTGAAATGTATGTAAATGCAAAGATCATTGGCAAGTAAGACACCACAACTATGCCCGTCCACCATGAACATCATAAACAAGATGCAGTGCATCTTGAAAACACTCTCATTTTCAGAGAATACAGATTTAATTTAAGTACCTGCAGGGAGCTATTACTTTCAATGAGTGGTGTAACATCTTTAAGATGTGTTGCCTTCTTCTTTGTCATTCTTTTAAAGATGGATATTATATAATCTAATCAAGATAGTATAAAGAAAATAAAATCCACTTTAACAAAAAGAAGACTCAGAGAATCCTAAATGGGATGTGTAAATAGTCTCAAGTAAGGAAGCAGTGAAAAATACAAGCTACATACAACATGGACGAATCTCAAGATCCTTATGCTAAGTGACAGTGGCCAGTCACAAAAGACCACATATTGTAACATTCCATTTAGATGAAATGTCCAGAACAGGCAAATACATAGAGACAGAAAGTAGGTTAGTGCTCGCTGAGGCTGGGGGCGGTGAGAGGAAATGGGGAGAGACTGCTGTTGGGTATGGAGTTTCCTTTTTGAGGTGATAAAAACAGGTCCTGAAATGGATTGTGGTGATAGCTCAATGGTGAATAACATCACTGAATTGGGCACTTTAAATAGGTGAATTTTAAGTTATATGAGTTATATCTCAATAAAGCTGTTGTGAATAAATAAATAAATTTAGAAAAGGAAGAGATGATATTATTTAATTTAGCCAGGAAAATACAAATGAGTTAAAAACAAAGAGAAAGCAAGATGTGCTTTTGTTCCCATCAATCCTAACCCAGAAGATTGTACCCTCTAACAGCCTTGGTGCCTTCTGTCTCCCTTGATTCTCCTCCAACCCTCACTGAGTAGCTGACGAAAAGCTGGGATGCAGCAGCCTGTGTGACACTCGAGGTCTTGCAGTGCTGGGGCCCCTTCTCAGCGGCCAGGTCTACCAGATGCCTCCTGACTTCCCAGCAATCAGAGTCCACTGGGAGTCAGGGTCATGTCAAGTTTCAAGGTTTTAGGTTTTCGAGCTTGACATAAAGTTTTGAGTGACTTCTCTCAGCACGTGGTGGAAAAGAGCTTCCTCCCACTGCCAGGTTCACTCAAATATTTTCTCATGGAACTGACACAAGTCTGTCATAAACCACTTCAAAGAAATTTCATTCCTACGGACAGCCATTCACAGCTACCTTTCCAAGAGCTCTCTGCTCTGACTTTTGAGGTGCTTTTGTAGGAAAGTGAAAGTCATCAGCATGCCAACGTTTATTTAACACCTACTGTATGTCAGGGTGGAATTCCTGTGCAGTGCGAACAGTTAACATGCTCAGCTGCTAACCAAAAGGTTGAAGGTTGGTGCTTCAAGTCTACCCAGAGGCACCCTGGAAGAAGGGCCTGATGATCTAATTCTGAAAAATCAGTCAGTGAAAATCCTATGGAGCACAGTTCTATTCGGACACTTAAGGGGTCGCCATGAATCAGAATCAACTCAGCAGCAACTGATTGGGTTTTTTTGGTTCTGTGCGTCAGGTACTGAGCTTCAGTTCTGGGATACAGAGATAAATGAGCCATTATCTTCTAAAAACTCTATTTCAGATAGCAAACATATTTCTGTCAAAGCAAAAAGCATATCAAACCTACTTATGCTACAGTTACAAGGTTAAGGTCAAAAATACACATTTATTTAACAGGAATTCTCCAAGGAACTAGCCACAAATGAGTACAAGAGTTTCTTCTGCATTGAAATGGGGCACTGCACTTTCTGTGTTTGGAGAAGTTATACAAAAGTAAGACAGTGTAGATCTCTAGAGAGAGAGGGTCTATAAAAAGGAGACATTCTCATTTTAGTAGAGAATGTACGAATAATAAGCATTCTGTTCTAAAGACTGCAGACCCAAATCAAGAACAGGAAGAATATCCATTAACAATAAATAGTATATATCATATTTGTACCCTAGAAACAACGCAACAGGATGCCTAGCTAAAAATGATACCGAAATGTGAACGGAAAAAAGATGGAACAAGACATAAAAGCCTACGGAGGATTCTTAGCAAAGGTATAAAAGTTAACATATTATATGACACAAAATTAATGGACTCCAGAAACACCTTTTAGAGCTACATTTCAACAGTATAATTTGGCTTTACTGAAGGTTAAAAATGCACAGTGAGTGAGGAAACTTTCTGATTTGTTTGACACCACTGTCAACTGTCTTTTCTCCTCTAGTTCCTAAGTGATGAAAATTCTTCTAAACTTGATAACAAGTCAAAGCTTTGGTTATTGAAACAACTGCAGGCTTCCTCCTTCTAGATACTAATAGTGCTATAATCCATCCAGCTGCCTTCTGTGCTTGAGGATCAAGTACCCACAGTCAGATTTAATGTTCAACCACAGTAACTAATTTAGCCCTTGTGGTTAGCATTTCACTTCCTTCTCCATTTCATCGTTGATTTTCTGAACAAGGAACTCTGGTGGCGCAGTGGTTAAGAGCTCAGCTGCTAACCAAAAGGTCAGCAGTTCGAAGCCACCAGCCGCTCCTTGGAAACCCTACGGGCCAATTCTACTCTGTCCTATAGGGTGGCTCTGAGTAGGAATCGCCTGGAACGCAACGGGGTTTTTTGGTATTCTAAACAACTTATGAAATCTTACTTTGCTTAAATTGTAAATAGCCTTGAATCTCCTATTATGTGAAGTATAAACAGGGAAGAAAGAACTGTCTAGTCTCTTTTTACCTGAAGATGACCATATTCTTCATAGGAGAGGTATTCATCTCCTGTGTGCAGGCTGAAAACAGAGTGAAGACACGTCGTTGGGCGTGGATCCTGTTTAAACTGCTGTACCTAGAATTAAATACGAAGTTTAAATAATCTAGTAATTCACCGCTCATCCAAGATTAGAGACGATAAATGATTTCTGATGAAATCTTTTGGAGAAGGAAGCTACAGCTAATAGGCAGTGAGCTGAGCAAAGCAGAATCGCTATCTTAACTGAAGAAACAAAACACAGAAAAAGCTCATAATACTAATTTAATAGAGTTAACATGAATATTGAATTAATATTTCACAAACATAGCAACTCAAGTACAGTAGGGAGCATGATAATGCAGTAGCAAAAGCTTTTGCGATATTTTGCATTTTCTTTTATTTCAAAGTCAGATAATGGTTTACATTGTGGGGAGGAAATTTCAGTGATTTATATCCCATGGTACTGTTATTTATAAATGCTTAAATGATAGCCAGAACAAAGAAAGTGCTTCAGGCCATATCTCACTTCATTAAGTGTTCAAAACTTCAAATGCTACTTCTTTCTCTAAGGATCATACATTTTAATGCATGTTCCTGCCAACATGTTTACATTTCCCTTTCCCAATACAGTCTTATTACGAAGGCACCAAATCTGAGGAACGTAGCCCACATCTTCATTTATTAATCCAATGTAAAATGTAATCGTTTTGGAATATTAAATGAATACTAAATAATCTGACAAACTCCAAGGACAAAAAAAAAATCTACCCACTTTCTTAGGGCCTATTCAATTAAACTTGACAAATATTTACTGACATCAGTTACGTGCCAAGTATTGTGCTAGTCACTGAAAGTATAAATAGGAACAGAGAATGCATGGGATGATACACAATTCTATGTAAAGGCAATTATCTTCCCCTATTTTTGAAAAGATATGAGTGGTAATATCTGAGTGGTCATGATCTTGCCTTGTTTCATTTGGCAAAGGAATCACATGGATACATATTCCTTTTTCCACCTCCCAGGATTCTTCATTTACTTGGATCCACAATCAACGCCCATGGAAGCAGCAGTCAAGAAAGCAAATGACGCATTGCATTGGGCAAATCTGCTGCAAAAGATCTCTTTAAAGTGTTGAAAAGTAAAGATGACACCTTGAACACTAAGGTGTGCCTGACCCAAGCCATGGTGTTTTCAATTGCCTCATACGCATGTGAAAGCTGGACAATGAATAGGGAAGACCTAAGAAGGACTGACGCCTTTGAATTGTGGTGTTGGCAAAGAATACCTAATGTACCATGGACTACCAGAAGAACGAACAAGTCTGTCTTGGAAGAAGTACAGTCAGAATGCTCCTCAGAAGTGAGGATGGGGAGACTGCATCTCACATACTTTGGACATGTTATCAGGAGGGATCAGTCCCTGGAGAAGAACATCATGCTTGGTAAAGTAGAGGGTCAGCGAAAAAACAGGAAGACCTTCAGTGAGATGGACTGACACAGTGGCTGCAACAATGGGCTCAGGCATAACAACTGTGAGGATGGCACAGGACCAGGGAGTGGTTCGTTCTGTTGTACGCAGGATCGCTATGAGTCGGAACCAACTCAATGGCACCTAACAACAACAAGAAGATTGTTTTCATCCTTAAAAATCTATCTGAAAATATGCCTTCTATTACAAGTCCTTTCTGAACCTCAACCAAAATTCCTTCTTCTGGGTGCTTATCCCTCAATTACTTTTCTTGCCTTGTACTTTAATTATCTGTCTGTATCTCCCACTATCTTGTAAGCTTCTGGAAACTACACTGTCCAGTATGGTAGTTAATAGCTACATATGGCTAATTAAATTAAATTATAATTAATCAAAATTAAATTAAATTTAAAAAATTAGTTCTTTAGTCACATTAGCTACATTTCAAGTGCTCAACTGCCACTACTGGCTACCATATGTTCAAGCACAGTAACGCAGGGCATTGCAACCAGCACAGAAAGGTCCATTGGACAGCTCTGTTCTAGGGGGCTGGTATACCTCTGCATTCACCAAGGGCCTTGCACAGACAAACATACCCTTCCTATATCTGAAGTACCTTACCAACCAAAATAAAGTCAGGACCCATCAGCAGGTAGTCAGGACTGAGAGAACAAAGGTACAGATAGTGGTGTTGGTTCTCTCTATAAAGTGGTCAACCCATCCACTGTTAACTCAGAGAAAGTGGGTATCCCTTTTCAACATGTGAAATGGTTGGCAACAGGTTCAAACTACACAAATAGAAATCTATGTGGGCATATACTACACTTTTTACACTATCATGTTTATTATCTAAATTTCTGAACATTATTCTGGGCTCCTATAGAAAAATATGGTTAAATTAAAGCAAAATACATTTTGCCTACCTGATAGGGATGTAAAAGGATAAGGTTTTATCAGTTTATCAAAGCGATGGCTTCAGTTGATGAGCTAGTGTTTGTCATGTGTCTTCAAGACACGCAAGATCCCAGCATGAAAATTTACATTCAGTCACTGTGTCAGGGGAAAACCAACTACTAAAGCATTAAAGATACTCAAATAGGAAATTATATAACTCTGCTTTGAGTTTTAAAGCTGTTAAAGGACAAGTGATTTAAATTTTCAGAAAAAAATAAGACCCAAATGCTGTAAGCTTTGAAGATTAACGAGGCATGCTGTATGTCAATTACAAACAAAAAATACTATAGAAAGTAGTCAAAAACAAGAGGATATTAACTTGTATCTTATCTTGTGTCTGGCATCTGGCAAGTAAAAATGAAAATAATGATTACAGTAAAATTTTCTAGACTAAATCTAGTATAATGTTTTTCCCACTTATATTTTACTTAGCTTTTTCTGCAAATCTTTGTCATAGTGAATAAACAGCTTATCATTTGGGAAAAGGTAACTGAGTATTTTATCATTTATTCTTAATTTATAGACTTGAAATAGGCACTTAGAGGAAAAAAATTGTCTCATGATGGAATCCTGGAAAAATAAATTTTATAAAATTGTAATGATTCCTCATGAATTAGGAATACTTATTAATATTTTAAACAAAGAGTTTTTAAAACAGATGTTCAGGCATAGCAACATTCATAGTCTGCTATAATACAAATCTCAGCTCTGCGAACTACCAACTGCAGATGGAATCTACTTTGGAAACCTGACTGCTTCTTCGTAAGGAGTATTAGACAAGAAAGACAATGAGAAAATAGGTATGTGAACATTTAGAGGTAAAAAATACCTAATATACTAATCAGCAGGCATTAGACTAGTGGTAAGACCGTAATAGACAGAAATCAGATGGGTTTACATTCTGCAAACCAAGGACAATTCTATTTATTCACTCAAATCTATAAGGTAAAACTATCTCTTTTAGCTAGTGATTTTAGGAAATCTGTTAGGAATCATGTTTTGTGATGAGCAATAGATAAAAGCGGAGAAGCCTTGGACTTTTGCGGTCATGATTCTGTCCTGGAAGACAGAAAGCGTGAGGCCAGGGACCAAACAACAAATGAACACTACAAATATGTTTCACTTTAATTTTCTTAAAGGCAAAAAGGTGAATATTTCACATTTTTAGTATGTTAGCATTTCCTACTGTTACTGAATCATGAAGGAAATAGCCAAGAATGGAGGAAGAAAATGGTGAGTAGCAATAAGAGGACGAGGTGCGGTGGGAGGCAGTGACCTCGTCACATCGTTCAACCTCCCTGAGCTGGTTCCGTACAGTCATATGTGATTATAGGAATATCCTTTCTTTCCTACTCCAAAAGGTTATAGGGATAAAGACGGATGTGGCAATGAAAATGCTTTAACATCTGTAAAACATCTTTTACATATAAGAATATCAAAACTCTGCATTATATGGTATGTATACCCAGTATAAGGAGCCCTCGTGGTGCAGTGGTTAAGCACTGGGCTGCTAACCAAAAGGTCGGCAATTCAAACCTACCAGCAGCTCTGCAGGAGAAAGATGTGGCAATCAGTTCCTGTAAAGATTACAGCCTTGGAAACCCTATGGGCAGTTCTACTTTGTTCTAGAGGGTTGCTAAGAGTTGGAATCAACTTGATGGCAATGGGTTTCATTTTGGTTTACACCCGGTATGATCCATACCTTCTTACAACTCATGCTTACTTTAATGGTCTGCCATCACACCTACATGGGAAAAGAAATGCTAATCCTTCATAATTTAAGGAATTCAAGACAGTTTAAGTCACATTCAAGTGGTAATTAAAAGGAAACACAATTGTGGAGACTAGTTAATTAATTAGGTTGAATATGATTTAGAAAGGGCCATTAACAATTGGCTAAACAAGTCACAAAGAAAAAACTTAAAATTGTTACATCATCATCTTCTTTCTAATAAGCAAACCTAATTTAAGTCTGCCAGACACACACTAAATTCATGACTATTACAATGTTGGCTTGAAAGAAAAGCTGTATTCATGAACATATTAGGTGTTTATGAGATGATACTTGTAAGTAAACAGCAAGTTCTCCAACACAGAAAAAAAACTTTAATCACAATTACACAATTATTTCAATGTAACATATGACTAATATTAGTTTAATTCAAGTATGTCAATCTGTCACACTACATTATTCCAAGTATCCAAAAAAACCTTTTCAACAAAGATTTGCAATATCAAATCTCAGCAGACAAACTATAAGTTTGTCATACATATCTATTATCAGCTTATGAATGAATTTACTTTTTTTGCCAACTAACATTATCTTCTTGCCATATTCTGGTGGCAGAATATAATTTTTTTTTAAAGTTTTTGCTATCAAATTGCTATCGATTTTTTTATGTTTCTTCAAGCATAAATTAAAAGTTAATACAAAGATAGTTACATGATAAAAATAGATAATATTAAGCGGTCACAATCGCTGACATATTTACTGACGCGCGTCTTTGCTTAGGTGTAGAAACTGGAAACCCGTGTGAAGCACACGGTCCAAAGGGAGCAGGGGTAACGGTAACCAGCGAATGACACCACCACCGTAACCGCCACGTGCTCACCTGGCGCCAGGCCCCGCGCTAGGCGCGGTCTGCACGTTATCTCTTATCCCTCACAAGAACCTGACGAGGGAGGCACTACTAATCTCCATACTTTACGGATGAAAATAACTCAGACACACAGAAGTGACACAATTTGTGCAACATCACGTAACTAGTAACAAACTAGAAACCAGCACATTAGCGTGTGCTCCTTGTGCAGAAAAGGGCTAACAGAGCAGGCTCCAGACTGCTAGCCTTAGAAAGGTCGGCTGAAGCTTGGCCCTTGGCTGGCATATGGGAACTCGGATTTCAGAATGGGCCTCATTTGTTTATACAAACAATGTGGTTTATGTTAAACACCTTCTTTCTTTCTGGGAGTCTGGGATTTTGGTTAGGTGCTAGGCCCAGGGTGCCTACATGACCAGCCCCCCAAAACCCTGAGCTCTGAGTCTCTAACAAGCTTCCCTGGTAGACAGTATTTTACACAGGCTGATGTGTAAAGCAGATGCTGAGGAATCAAGCGCATCCTATGGCTCCGTGGGAGAGGCCTCCTGAAGCCTCGTGCCTGACGTCCAGAGGACTTCGCCCGTGCGCCCTTTCCCTTTGATGATTATCCTCTGCCATCCTCTCACCGCAACACTTGACAGCCAGGAGGACGACTGTGCTGAGGCCTGGAGTCCTCCTAAACAGTCATCCAACCCAGGGGGGCCTCCGGGGCACTCACAGCCATACGCGTATATGAATACTCTGAACGAGGACCCAGGGACACGGAAACGTAGGCAAGTAGGGGGAATACCATGTCATATTTGTACAGAGCTTTACAGTTTAAGAGATGTTATTATGTATATAATTGTATTTAATTTTCACACTAACCCTGTGAATTTCTTTATGCGCTGAGAAAATCCCAGCTTCTTTACACATAAATACATAAAGAATATTTTCAAACTAAAGTTCACCTCAGCCAAAGCGATTCACATGTCCAAAAGTAATTTTGGTAAGAATTTCCGCAAATAGTATAATAATGGTTAGAATTTGGGATTATTGTGCGGTTCCCGGGAAAGTGGGTATTTATCAAGCAAATACCAGAGGCAAAACACAAACAAATTCAAGTCTAAGTAACAATTCTCAAGCACCTCTGGCTTCAGGTGTTCCTTCAATTTCAGGATTTCAGAACCCTGGGCTTGGAAGGCAGGCTGCTTTAACTTTTCTACACTGCCCTAGGATGTAGCTTTACCTTTTTAAAGTACTAGATGCTATAGCTATTGGTTAAATTAATCCCTTAGAATGCTGTGCGAATTCCGGTCCACACCAGCGTCTTACCTTATCAGCCTGCCGCATGTAGCAGTAGAGAATGCCTCTCATACATTTGATAGCCGAATGCTCCAGCTCATGGGTCCTTCCCTTGTCGTCATCAATGCGCCTGGATGAGAGAGATAACTCATGAAACAAACTGGAAGTGCATCTGAAAGGAGCAGAGCTTTGGTAATTAAGTATTTAACTATCTGACTAATCCTGTGTGCTGCCGATGTCTACTAATTCCTTCACAGTGAAACTCCATTCTCACAGCAGATGTAGAACTGTCGCAATTAAAAAAAAAACAAATTCCAAGATGAAACTTGTGCAGCTTTCGCATCCAAAGATCAATTCTTTTAAGGAAGTAAGCCAATCACTTTAAAATAACATACGATATTTTCTACATTGACTTGGATGAAACTCTAAAGGATATTTCTATAATGGAAAAATTTACCAACAGATTTTTAAAATTCACTGTTACAGAGTTGAAGCATTTTCAATACCAATCCCTTTAGGTTATGCAATAACCACTTGGATTCAAGGAGGCTCGGGTTAAGACGGCACATGCCTTCCCTGCTCAGCCATATACTTAATACTGCTAGAGCAGTACTTCAGTTCACAGTCAAGGATGCCTTCAATTAAACATACACCCAGTAACTAGCTGGTTTTATCTACTTGAAACTGCAAGGTGTAAGTCTTTAGGGGGAAAAAAATACATGAGACAAGTATTAATAGCTTCAACCACTGAAAGGACAGCATTAGCTTGTCAAAGAAAATCAGTAAGTTATTATTTGGTGATAATGCTGATGATGTAACATAACAGAATAATAATGGGTATAATTTACTGACAGCTTCCTTTATGCCAGGTACTCTGATCATTCATTTACATATATTATCTCATTGAATCGTTACAATAATCCCATTTTTTGCTGAAGAAGCTGGAGCTTGAAGAGGATAAACAGTTGTCTATGGTTAAAGAGCTAGCTGTGGAGCAGGATCTGAATATAAGTGCCCCAGATTCCAAAGCCCAAGTTCACACACATGGAAAAAAAAAAAAAAAAAAAAGTATTTTACGATGGGTCTAAGTTCTGAGAAAGAAGAATTCCGAGGATAAGTTTTCATGGGCAACCAACCAATCAGACCATTTTGACTGATCTGATAGTTCCAACAGTGTTATATACGTTTGCTTTGACGGTGCTGAAAACGGAGCTGTTCTTTCGGTCAGTTTATTTGTCTCGTGGCCTGTAATTACTTAGAAGCAGAAGACAATAAGACAGCAACAAAGAAAAACATTCCGAGAAAATGCAGGGTCGTTATACGGCTTCCTCAAAGCGGAAAGTTGAGTGAAACTATGACCTCATGCGACCTGCAGCTTCACAATCCAATCTCTACCTAAAAACCTACATGTTGAATTTTTATGATAGCTGTTAAAAGTATCTAAACACAAAATAGTTGCTCATTCACTTATTCATGGAGTGCCCACTACGTGCAGTAACACTGCTAGATTATCAGGGACAGGACAGCAGGCAAGACAAATACAGTCTCTGCCATCAAGAAACTTCGAACCCAGCAGAGAAGAAAGCAATCAATACAAATAATTGACGATAAGGGCTATGATCAGTGTAGACGGGGCAGTTTGGCTCAAATGCAGAGGGCACAGAAGAATGATGAGTTATGCGGAAAAATCACCCTGGATCCAATGAAGAGAACAGACTGGGGGAATTCGCTTTTAAAGACCAGTTGTGGGTAGTTGTAACAACCCAAATAAGATATGATAATGGGGAATACATATTTGAAGGCTAAAATTAGATATAAAGAAGGTATTTTTTAAATTAAGAATATTTTATACTGATCTATAGGCTTTGAGAAACTTTTTGGTAGGAAAAAAATCATTACAAGACCATTCCGATAAAATTAATACTTTTCCCGGAAAATAGTTATGTAAGTTCAAAGCGTTCAGAAAAAAGTTCAAAATAACTACATAGCATTTAGGCTTCTGGCTAAGAAAACAAGCAAACAAAAAAATGCTATTGAAATCGCCATAAAATTGGACAAAATCAGTCAGGCACGGCTCTCAGGCATTAGAGCACAGGCAGCACAAGCCTGGAAGGTGATAAAAGCAAGGTGAGCCCGACCACTGGGCTACCTCTTGGCCTGGGGAAATATCTCACAGAAGCTGGACTTCAGGCAAAGCATGGTACTGCCACTGAGCTAAAGCAGCTATCAGAGTCCAGGGTAGCTGAAGTAGTTGAATCTGCAGGGCAGGAAATCAAAGAGGGAAGCCCTAGAAGTCCAGAAGGAAGTCTCAGTGAGACCCCTGGTTGAAGGCTGAGTAATGCATAAAAAGGGCAAGGCTACTTGAGGCTTATTAGAGACCAGTTACTATGAGGTTATAAACAGAACAGAGATATAAAAGAGCAGTGCTGGGGACATCTGGAGTTCCAGCTCAGCCAGAGTAGAGAGATGACCTTAACTAACACCTTGTTAACCTTCAGACGTCCAGCTAAGGCACTAGAAGGGATGTGAGGATCACACCTTAACAAAGCCAAAACTACGGCTTCACAAGATCTGCAGAGGAGGCAGTTTGGAATTGTGTAGTGTCAAGTTATAGTGGCTTATGAAACACCCTGAGCTTTTGAAAGACCCACACTAACGAAGTGTAAAACGAAGCCTACACAAATTCACGGGGGCTGGCCAGTAACTGACCCGCCTACTGGAATAAAAATAAACCTGCTTCACAGAAAAATCACAAATCCAGAGTCTCTGTAATTATCATTCATAAGGTGCAGTATACAATCAAAATTTAAAAGATATGCAAAGAAACAGGGTAACGTGGTTGTTAGCAAAAAAAAAAAAAAAAAAAAAAGCCAGTAGACACTGACTTTGAAATGGTTTCAATGCTTGATTTAGCAGACAGACTTTAGATCAGCTACTGTAAATATGTTCAAAGCATTAAAAGAAAATATGGACAAAGAATAAAAGAAAAATACAGTCTTAATGAGTGAACAGATAAGGAATATCAACAGAGTACTGGGAATTATAGCAAAGAACTAAACAGAAATTAAAAGTATAATTGAAATAAAAAGGTCACTGAAAGGCCTTAAAGACTGCAAATGGCAGGAAAAAAGACAGTGAATTTGAAGTCAGATTAAGAGAAATTATCCAATTGGAAGAACAGAAAGAGCTTTTTTTTTTAAAAGAGCCTCAGAAGCCTGTGACCAATATAATCAATATAAATGTAACTGTGGACCAAGGAGGCAACAAGACTAAGAATGGAGAAGAAAAAATTAATTAAAACAAAAAAAAGGCAAAAATTTTCCAAATGTAGTCAAAAACACTACTTTATAAACCTATAGATGAAAGAAGCTCAGCGTTAAGACAAGCTGGATAAATTTTAAAAAATAATAACCATACCTAGGCATATCAAATATTAGGCATGTTTAGCACAAAACTCTGAAAACCAAACATAAAGAGAAAATTTTGAAAGCAGCCAGAAAAAAAGGACATAATACATTTAGGGAAGAATGATACAACAGATGGCTGACTGTTCATCAGAAAAAACAGAAGTCAGAAGTCAAAAGAATTACATGTTTAAAGTGCTTAAAGGAAAAAAAAAAATCCTGTCAACCCAGAATTCTATATATAGCAAAAATAGTCTTCAACAGTAAGAATGAAATTAAGACATTTTCAGATTAGCAAAATCTGGGCTATTTGGTTATCAGCAGACCTGCGCTACTAGAATGTTGTAGGATACTCTTTAGGGTGAAGGAAAATTGACTATAAAGAAACTCAGATCTACAAGAAAGAATGAAGAGCACCAGAAATGTTAATGGAGTATTACAAACAGTGTTTTCTTATAATTTCCTTAAAAGACACCCATTGTTCAGAGCAAAAGTAACAACACTGTAAGATGGGAAGCATCAGGTATGAAATAAGAAGAGGGAAATGTGAAATTTCAGGTAGGAAGTAGAAAATGGTACAAAATTGACTCTAAATGGACTTTGATACATTAAGGATGCATATTGTTAGCCCTAAACCAACACTAAACGATAATAAAAAGAGGTACAGCTAAAAAGGCAGTGGTGAAATAAAATGGAATGCTAAAAAATATTCTATTAACCCAAAGGATGACAGCAAGATGGCACACTTAAACCTAACCATATCAATAATTACATTAACAGTACATGGATCAAGCTCTCCATTTAAAGGGGGTGATACTTCATAGTGATAAAAGGAATGGTTAATCAGGAAGACATACCATTCTAAATACATATGCAACCAATAACTGAAATTAAAAATTCACAAAGCAAAAATGATACAACTAAAAGGAAGAAAAGACACAAACACATGTGATAGTTGGAAACGATTTTTAACACCTCTTTCTCAAAGAATTACAGAGTAGTTCTACAGATATCTGAGGTTAAAGTATGCCCAGGAACTGGGAGTTCACAGCTGAACAGACACATGGGTTTCAGTATAATAAGATGAGTCAATGTTGAGGCTTGAAATGGGTGCGTAATGAAGAGCTGCCTAATTTAGCATTAAGTTCAAGAAGATTTCCAGAATATCAGGCATGAGATGATTGACAACAGATAAATAAAACAACCATGGAAAAAGACTAGAAGTGTTATTCCAGATAGAAGGAATAGCATGAACAAAGGCACAAAGTCATGGGTAAGCATGGTATACACAGAGAAGTATCAACTTTTGGTATTAAAAGAGCAGGTGGCAATGGTGGTGATGAAGCTGGAGAGAGGCCAAGTAATAGTGGGCTTTGTGTGCCATGTTTAGGAGCCAGCAAAGGGTCTAAAGGAAGAGAGTGACATAGTTGGATTTGTATCTTAGGTAGAGCCCTCTTAGGTAGAGTAGATGTTGGATATAAGGGGAACAAGAATAGAGACAGAGGGAAACATTAGATAGCAACTGCAATAGTATAGGCAAAAGGGGATGAGGAAGGAAGGAGGTAGGAAAAAAGGAAAAAAGTTTAAGAAATATTTATGAAGTAAAATTGGCAGGATTCAGTGCATTGCTTTGATTGACTGGGTGCATGGTGATATCATTCACTGAGATTGCTAAAACAGTGAAACAGACGGTTTTAGTCAATTTAGACTGAACCACTTATTCTTT